ATCAAATCAGGGTTTTTTATAGGTTAATAACCCATAGGTTAAGTGTACATAACCTAAAAATGCATTTTTATCGAAAAAAGTCTATACCTTTTTTTTGGAAGTAGATGCACGTCCATTTTTTTTTTCATTTTGCGTATTTCGTATTTCTGATTTTTTCTGATTTTTCCGTGTAGTGCTATTTTCAAAAATCCATAAAACTGTTTTTTATGGTTTTGGGGGGTTTTCTTTATTTTATGAACATAAAAATATAGTTTAAAGTTAAATCAATGGTTTTTATAGTTTATATGTATATATTTGAAATTAAATAAATCCTTTAGGAAATAAACCATGTTTTTCAGTTTTGACGGGTAAACCAAATTTTAAATTCTTTGATATTGACACAACCTGAATCAATTTTCTTCTATTTTTACTTTTTGTGTAATCAAAACATAACACTAAGTACAAATTTACTTACGGGATTTGATATATTTTGAACCCTATAAAATAGAGAAAATCCTCAAATAGCTCTAAAAACCAGTTTTTTGGGTTTTTGGAGATGGCACACCTCACGAAAAATCTGAAAAAAATCAGAGATATAGTTTTTGATCCAATACACAAAATAAAAAAATTGGACCTGCCGCCATATTAAAAAATAACGCTTTTATCAGAAAAAATAAAAAAAATCCATTTTAGGTTATTTAACCTCAACGTACGATTCTATAAAAATATGCAAATTGCGCTATAGATAAATGCTCTCTTTTTGATGTTAGTTTGGGTGTGCAAATAATCCAAAGTATAGTGCTAGAGCTATCTTATTGTATATTGTTACAGTGGTGTCTGTTCAAGTTTATTAATTTCAATAAATATCACACATTTTAAAATATATCTCTTCTAGTTATTAATATCACTTTTCCATTCGAGCACTTTCCCGTTACTCGTTAAATAGTTGCAGTAAAACCGATGATCAACTATCACTAGGTTACCATAACGGATTTGTAAACTATGTTTTCTCAAACATTTAGTAATATTCCTTGTATCGGCAGATAAGTAAGATTATTTATTCACAAGGAATCTACGTTCCTGTAGTTGGCTGTATACCATATATTAAAAAAATTATAAAAAATCCTCTGCAAAAGGTATATATTAAGAGCCCAATCGGGCTAAGTTAAAAAGACAAAACGTTTTCGGAATCCATATTCCATCATCAGTGTCTAAGAGTACATGAATGTAGCCACTAAATATATGGGTAAAAACCCGTTAACAAATAATTAATTACATTTAGTTTACAAAATTTCTTATAATGGTTTAAGATGTTAAAGTTACCGTTGGATTAGGTAACATGGCGACATATTGACCACGTTGAAGTTGCTAGTCTTGAGACAGTGTGTCTACGAAGACTGTATGGGAGTTACTTTCTCCTGTATGAGAGTTTTTTCAACCGGCATCTCAAAAACCTTGGTAGCCCATTTTTGTTTGCAGCAATAAAAGTTTGACGAAAAAGTAACACAGGTTCGTTAAAACCGCAATTCTTTATCTTCCATAACAACCTAAATAACCTATAAAAAGGTCCGAACTGGGACACCCTATACTTACTGTAAAAACATAATACCATTTCCTGTACCCACGGAGTCCTTGCATTTGCTCCTTTGAGCCCTAAAAGACGCAAGTAAGCTACTCATTTTCTTCTTCACAACTGCTGAACCTATATCAAGAATTCTTAAAATTGACTCCCATGCATCTTCTTTTTTTTGTTTTTGAATAATAAAACTTATTTTTTAGATCCCATAATATAGGGTTTTCTTCATACAAATTTATTAATTGCAAACATTGTTCATTTGACCCCTCCATTTTACACATAAATCAATAAAATTAATAAAACTAATATATCCGAACTTCTCTTGCAAATGCAACAAATCTCCACGCTATCCGTCTAAACTGAGTGCGAACTTATGTTTCTTTGATTTTGATATGTGCTAAAAAACCGACATCATTCTGGCTCGCAGCATGTGTGCTCAAGTTATTCCCGAGAAGCAACGCATGCGGAGAGAGGTTACGAAAGTGCCGTCCACATTTGCACAGGTATGTGTATTCGTGGCTGCTCACCACATGCGTTTTTAGTACGCGCCTTTACATGCCTTGCCCTTCTCAGGTGTCCTATTGTAATGTATTTTATAATATCTAGTTCCCCGTATATTCAGTACATTTTGTAGTTTTATCATCCACACCACCGATATTCACCGTTCCGTAAATACTCCTCAGTACCTTGTTAATTCTTCCAAGTCTTAGAGTCGTGTGTTAGGACTAGACATATTATTATTGAGTGAAGTTCTAGCTTTTCATTTCTCGATGCGAGAATTTAAAAAGGAAATTGTGCCTGAAAGGGAATTGTTTGTCGTAAAATATTAACAGTAATATTTGGAGACAGACAATACCCGACATCACGATGACCACTATACTTTCTACTGGGAATCAAGAATAAAGAAAGAAAAAGTCCCTGGAAAATGTACCCTGGTATACAAATTTGTCACGTGACTGGATAGCGTCGTCTTCTATATTTCGTCTAAATTTATTTTGTTTTGTTATTATAAATTTAATATTATTAGTATTATTTATTATAAATTCTTTTTACTGACTGTTTATTTTAGTGCAATATATGGGTACCATCCGTACATTGTTTTGCCTTCTTCCAACAATATCGATATCATCAGCGCAGTCAAGGCATCAATCAAGGCAGAAATTTGATGATTTTCCGTGTTGTACCTTCGATCTTTTCTACTATATAGGAAGTGAAGAATAATGCTATGAGTTTTTCTATGTGATAGAATATTGAATGTTACTTTTAATGAAAGATCAGGAGTAGTAGACGTTATTGAAAGTAAACCAATGTGTAACCTTTTTTTTATGTTGCTAAAAGATCACCAATTGATATACTGCGAACGGTAGCTAGATGGTTGGTGAAAAGCAAGTCGTGGATATCTGATCTTTCTTCCTGATTGATATATAACTGGTAAATTGTTAAAATTTAATATTTAATCAGAATATTTGTTGGTAGTAGAATAACTAAAACATGTCGGTTGAAAAAAAAAAAACAAAAAACAAATCAATTCTTTACTGGATCAGGATCTATTTCGAGTTGAGGGAAACTCTAAGGGAACTTAAAAATTTAATTTAAATCTTAAACTATATTTATCAATTTAAGATAATTAAGCAATTATTCATAAATAGCAAAGCAATATACATAACCAACGAAAACCAAACTGGCCCGGTCATTTATCAAATAGAACTCGTAGTTTATCAAAATGCAACTGAGAAAGATAGTAAACTGAAGTTTAAGTATTCGTCCTTAGATACTCTGGACTTATAGTAATTAACAGGTGACAAGAAATGGTCATAAATTTGCCAAAGACCCACCAACAATTCTCAAGCTTTTCGAAGATAATATAAGGATGTAACTTACAGTTGTTTTTGATGTCTGTCTGCTCCTTGAAAATTTACTGACTCTAACTAATAACAACTATTTTAACTATTACTAAGGATAAAAATGTATTTATTTTATCAATGCTAAAATTTTAACTATATACTTGTATTTACAAACAGAAATAATTGTACCAAGATTTCGTCACTTAGATCAAAATCGAACTAGCTCACAAGAGGATGGTAGGTTTTCACCCTTGAAGTACTAACAGAATTGTCTCTTCTTTCTTCAGAATATTTTCAACTTCCCTAAGAAATTACCAGTTACACATGGCCACTTTCTCTTATTCCGACTATTATTAGCTAGAGAATAGGCTAACTTTCTAAGCCATTGAAATTTATTAATTAAGAAAAGTATAATGTGTCTAATATTGGAGACGTTTTCAATCTAATCCACGCGGCTAAGGGGGTTTAAGTCATATACAATTTAAATTTCATAAGATTTAACAGGAATCGCTCCATGCTTTCACTAGTTAGCAAAAAGCGGTTTGAAAATTGCAAATAACTACCTTAGTAGCGTATCCCTATGTTGAGGAATTATAGTTACATAAAAAAATAAAAAGAGAAAATTAAAATTACAAAATGTTACAAAAGAATAACAAGACCAAAATGGGACCGAGTAGGTCATGTACCAAGAGCAGTTAATGATCGGTGGACAACAAGAGATTTAGAGTAGATACTTCAAATACAAGCTAATAGAAACAGGTCGATACGCGACGAGATGAATTGAAGATATAGAAAATACTACAAATTGGAGTCAGTGGACCTTGGAGGCTAGAAAATGAAACTGCTCTACCTTTTACTAATCACTAATGGAGAAATACTAAGTAGTTTAGTATTTAGTGAACTTTTAGTTCAAATAAAGGTAAGTGAAAGAAGATAAATAAGAAGGTATTGGTTAAAAATATGTTTAAATGGTTTAGCACCATCAGTGGCCATGAGTTTGAAACAGTAGTCTTTAAAACACGCATAACATAAATAATTGCCAATTTTTAGAACCAATGTATCATTAGTAGGGCTTATTGTCATTAAATGTGGGTCAATGTCATTAAACATAAAAGTATGTTTAATATAAAGAGTTAATTAGATCTGTAGCTGCCTTAAAATTCATCTAAAATAATATGGCCACATAATAGCAAAAGCATAGTGTACCATTCTGTAGAGTTTTTCTATGCGTAATTATAAATATCAGCTTAGAAATTAGTAAAAAAATCATTTTAGAAAATCAGGGACTAAACTAACCAGAATATAAGAAAATTTATTGCGCTTTTACCGTTAAATTCCAAAACATCAGTTTTGTATTAAACTTCTTTATTCTTTACCTCATGGTCCATCCAGAACTACTTATCTGTATCGTCATTTTTTGTATTTGGGTAAAACCTGTTACATTAGATAAAGCTAATAAAAATTAGTTAAAATTGCTTGGTGTTCGCAAAGGCGTCAGTTAAATATTAGCAGCCAGAATAACATCCTAAGTGCGTTATCAGCGATGACCCTATAATATTTACTTTGAACATATAAATAATTAGAAATGTGCAAAATAGATTAAAGTGGTTTTGTTCGTGAATTAAATTAGATGATAATGATTCCATTTACGTTTGCGATAATTTTTTTTATTTCATTAATATGTTTTTTGATATTTGCATATATCAGACAGAGAGCACTAAAAGACTTTCCTGGTCCAGAACCTAATTTATTTTTTGGAAATGTTTATATGATAATGTTTAAGCCGTTATACGGTAAGTACCCTAATCATTGTTTAAATATCATCCAATCATTGTCTGGCTGCAATCATCATCTAATCACTGCAAATCTAGTACTATTGATTAATTTTCTTTTTATTATATCGTTTTTCGACGTCGTCGTCGACAATGCTTCTTTTATACCTGAAACATTTATAAATCTTAAGTTTTGTGTTTAATAATATTTTGGTTATGTTGCTGCAATGGTTGCTCTATTTATTGCTATATTATATTTAGGAATCTTGTTAGCTTGTAGGAATTATTACATAATAATATATATTATTTTATACAAAACTATAAATATCATGATCTCTACAACTATTTACTGATTGTGTTAATTTTCTGTCTTAGTACGCTTACAAAACAAACTTTCGAATTTTATTCAGTTAAAACCGCCACAGAAAATTTTGTGTGAAATTTAAAAAATCATAAAAATTAAAAATCAAACTTTGGGAGTTTTTGATAAAATAGTTAATTCCACAAACTTTGGCGGTTGGCTTTGTTATTTGTTTATTGTCATTGTAAAAGTGCGAGACATTGTAATCGTTTAAAATCAAATAATGGTACGTTCGTTGGAATCATCGGTATACGCGAGATCAAAACAGAACATCGTTTGCATTTTTCCTTGACGATCGTTGCCCCAACGACATCATTAGTTTTTTTACAATCAGTCTTGTTTCAATGGACAGTCGAGGTTAATTAATGTTACGCAGCATGATGACAACTGATACTACTTTTACAACAGTGCGTTCAAAAACAACCAGATAGTTCATAACGGCAGCCTAAATTTTATAAATGTGTCAATTGAATTAAAGAAAACAATTTTTCTGGAAGAAATTTCGGAAAGACCGCATTCAGATCATCGACACTTGTATTTTTTGCCGCCAATATTGCTCGTCTAATTATGGTTTTTGAACTGGGGAGCTAAGCCCTGGAATACACGATGAATAAGCTCAGCCCAGCAAATTGATAATAAATTTACTTAAGAATTACACTGAAAAAGTAAAATGATAACCATATACGTCACTACTAAGCTCGATTCATATACTATAATAATGTATGACAACTATGTCGAGTTTTCGGAGTGAGAAAAGGCTTATTGTGTAAAAGAGATAGAAGATCGGTTGTGTTCTTATGCCTAATACGTACTCTTTACTGAATGAGAAGTGACCAGTAATCGATCAGTTATTGACTAGAGTTAAAGTGATTAAATTACTAATAAGTCTATATAAACCGGGAATAGTGAATATGTAGGAAAAATGTGATAAAAAATAGAAGGTGTAAAGAAAACCTTATCTGCCATATCTTGTTCGTTATTGACCCAGGAGATTTATGTATGTATTCATTTGTTTTCATTTTGTAGATACCCAAATCTAACCCATCTATTTTAACTTATCCACGACCCAGCTCTCCAACAACCCCCTGAGTGCCGTACGCACTAGTTTCGATTATTTTGTTTGCCCTATCTCTACCCCCATGTTCTTACCCTGAGATAAGCAAAATAGTTCGGTTCGTTACAATATATATATATTATATATATATATATATATATATATATATATATATTATATATATAATAACCTTCAATTTTTTATTACATAGTTATATTTTAATCTTGATTCTCAGAGTTTTTGTGCGTTATCAGAAACACCTTTACTTCCTAAAATTAATCTTCAATAGAAAATAAATGCAATAATTAAAAAAATATCATCATCATCATTGGTGCTACAGCAATATATAAGAGCCTTGACCTTCCCAAGTCTATAACGCCAGTTAGTTCTATCCATTGCCAACTACTGCCAGTTTGATGCGCCTATTTTTCTACCATCCTCATCTATACCATCCCTCCATCTGAGTTTTGACCTACCCCTACTTCTACTTCCCACAGGTTCTGACATAACGATTCTTCTAGGAGGGTTGTTCTGTTGTGATCTTGCCAGATATCCTGCCAATCTTAGTCTTCGTATTTTTATAAGAGATACTATGTGTTTACTACCAAATATATATGTATATCTGTGATATATCTCGTAGATGTAAATCCTTCTTTAAACACCACTTTCACAGATGCCACCGAATATTCTTCTAGGATCCTTTGTTCACATGTAAGCAGATATTTTTATCTTTTTAGCTATAGGAGATAGCATTTGTTTGCTAGGGTTATTCTTCGTTGGATTTCTTCCGTCATGAATCAAACAATCAAAAAAATGTGTCAAAATAATAATACACGAAAATCAATACACCTTAGACAAACAAAATGTTGCCTTATCTTTACATAATATGTCTGCGGAATACAAATTAAACTAAATTAATACAAACCTTAATTAGGGTTAGTAATGGAGTGTCACTATTCAGTAATTCAAGCTTTGGATGGTATTACCATCATACCGAGGTATGATGGTAATAATACATAAGACGAAACTGTAGAGCATGTCCTATCCGCATGCCATGAGTTATCGTTAAAAGCTTCCTTTATGATGTACAACGGGTCGGGTCAATTGGTGCTGTAAAGGGTGAAATTTAATACTCTACAGAAACAGATACAAACATTAATAACAATGGAATATAAACAAAGCAAAAACTATTTTTTTGCAGCCATCTGCTAATACTTAAGTCCACACTTAACATTAAAAATAATACAGTGTAAACCGATATCTTAAAGTTACTGCTTTTCTTAAAAGAAAATCCTCTGGCTACAGACCAAAAAAATCAAGAGTATTGAATAAAGGAAAAATAAATAGCTTTATATCAGAAGCTGGAGATAACATATATATTTAGTAAGTAAGGTAATATAATTGCCTTTTCTTCTAAATGTAATTTCAATACTGCCAGTTCCATTAATATCACTTAACTTTATAATTAATATTCATATGTAATATATTGATAAGAGCAATTGTTATGTTATATGTAATTTATAATGTGTTTATTTAGATTCTTTTCATTATAATTAACAACTGCAGAAAAAAATTTTACCTAATAAGGTCAAAAAGTCATTTTACGAGATTCGCAGGATTCGCAAGACTCCAGGACTTGATTTCGCATCTCGTAGAATATCACTTTCGGAATTTGTTACTTAATTATATACTATATATATTATATATTAATACTATTATAATAATTCATTTCAATTTCATAATTATGATCATGTCTATATTACATTTTCGAGACAATTATTCTTAAATACTTTAACTATATCTTCTCTTCAAATGACTCACTTTCAAGAAGAAAATAAGAAATGAAATTATTGATTTTTTTTAAATTAACTAATCCTATCCCATTTTCTGCTTTTTCAAAACTAGGATCAAATTCTCTAACTATTGTCGCATTTCGGGATGTTATTAACTTTGTTTTTGTTTTAATGTGTCCAGGCAGTGTTAAGCTGTGTTGTTTTCTGGATCATGTTGTGAGTTTCTTAGAGTGTTCAAAATTATTTCTTCAGCTCTTTTAATTACTTTTCGCCTTCTTACTCCTCGGATGTATTCCGTAATTTGTCCAATATCTCTGCACAATAATGCACTGCTCAGCAGTCGTTTTTCTTAGTCCGTCCGATGTTGGTACCCCGTCGTGTTCTGATCTTAATGCCCATAACATTAGCAATTGCTGTTGCTGCACAGTAAATCATCATTTGCAAATCAGCATATTAATGTTATCATTATTATTATTATTACTTCTCCAAAATGGTTTGACCAATTTTTATAAAATTCTCTTACCCTGAGTGCCACTGTCATATGGTTAATTAAAGTTGTTATAAATAATATGTTGGTAAAAAACTGCAAATATAAATAGTCCTATCTGTGCAAAGTTATAATATACAACCCATTGTAAATAATCCAAATGAGTAATCAGACAGAGAGACATGGACATGGAGAATTAGACATGAAATAATATTTATTATCCAGATTTAGCCATACGACTCACACTCAGATACCTACGGTATCAAAAGGATTGAGCTCTGGTGGGACTCTTTCCATGTTATTGAGTCCTAGGTGACTGAAAGTAGCACAGCTTTCTGCATGATCTTATATAGATGTTCATGTAGACCCAGCTTTTTTATGTTTTCTAGGAGGTTCTTTTAATGAATGAAAGAAAATCATTCAAAACAAAAAATCCAATTAAATATAATGAAACTGATCGATTAATAAAAAAGAGAATAAAAGAAGCTAAGGAGAGAATGTTACATGAGCATTGCCAAGAACTAGAAGAAATTGAGAAAAAATATGACTTTTTTAACATGCATAAAAGAATTAGAGAATTAACAGGAATGAGAAAAACACTTCAAACTAGGCAACTAAGAGATGAAAGGGGTGCACTTATAACAGATATAAACCAAAAAATGCAGAGATGGACACAATTTATAGCACAACTTTTTGAAGACAAAGAGAGAACAGAAGCACCAAAAGAATTTAAGGATGATACTGGTCCTGACATTATACGAGAAGAAATTGAATATGCAATGAAACAAGCTAAATGTGGTAAATCTCCCGGGCCTGATGAAGTTCCTATGGAATTACTTAAAATTGTGAATACTGAATATATTGATTTTCTTTTAGATCTATTCAATACCATATAACAGGTATAATACCTAAAGAATGGCTCCAATCAACATTCATACTGCTTCCCAAAAAATCCAATGCAAAGGAGTGCAAAGAACATCGCACCATAGCCTTAATGAGTCATATCTTGAAATTGTTTTTAAAAGTAATTCACAATAGAATACATAAGAAATTAGATGAAGGCATAAGTAATACATAAATGGAATTTAGGAAAGGACTGGGAACACGAGGTGCACTGTTTGCATTAAGTGTTCTTTCGCAGAGATGCTTAGATATTAATCAGGAAGTATATGCCTGTTTCATTGATTTTGAGAAGGCATTTGACAGAGTGCAGCATAATCTACTTAAAGAAATTTTATTAAATAAAAACATAGACAGTAGAGACATTAGAATCATCTTTAACCTCTATTGGAATCAAACAGCAAAAGTGAAAGTTGAAAACGAACT